GTATAACACTTTTAATATTACATTGATCGAACAAATGCACCTTTTCATACTACAGGTTCTAAAATAGAACATTCTACATTTTAAAGCTGATGATGAACATATTACGTAAAGTAGTCTTGTAAATAGCTATGTCAACTGTGAATGAACCAATCACGTTAAAAAAACACTATATTATATAACAACTGCTGTATAGTGTGAGCTATAGAGATGCTAATTTACCATCGAGTTATGTAATGGAACATTATAGTGATGGTCATGCAATTATGCACATTTAATGTCAATACTGTAGTTAACAAAAACTATAGTTATATGCTATTGTTGTCATTTTTAAAATCTACACAAGTTATAACCAGGGTTATGATATTTTTACGTATATATTCACTATGATGTTTATATTTGTATAGGTCCCTAAGACTTCATCGGGATTATGAAATTTGCACATGTTTTTATGAAAAATATGTTATATTTGATGTACCTATGCTTTTATCAAAATAATAAGTTAAATAAAGTAAAGTTAAACGTGTGTTAGCATGTTCTTAGCTGAATTACCTATGCAATTTTGACAAAATCTTTAGATTTGTATACCTATACCTATGTTGTTATTGAGAAAAATAAGATAATATGTGAGTACTAAGTACGTTTTCATAGAAAATAAGATATTTATTATGAAGTATACCTATATACTTATCATACTCTGGGTACATTTTTAAAAATATATTTAATAGAATCAGGTAGGAAAACTAAAATTATATTACATTTTATAAAAATACTTACATGAAGTGTTGTCATAAGAAAATGATTGTAATGACAATTCATTAGATTTAAGTATTGAAGAAGTTATACATAATACACTAATTTGGTCTCAAATAAAACCTGGAGTATTTCTATTACCTATTACATTTTTTTGGAAGGAACCATAAGAAATAACATTTTAGGTATGTATGTTTAGTTAAACTTGTAGATGAAGATGATGGAGATACTTTAGTCTAAGGATTAAAAAAAAAATAATGAAATCGGAACTGACTTATATATTGTTGAAAATTACTTGTTAGATATTACAGAAGAGATGATTCTTGTAATATTACCAACACCAACTGAACATAAGAAGAACAAAAAGATGATATCAACAATTCCTGGATATATAAATGTCAATGAAAAATAAGCAGTTTAGAGAATGAGTTAGCTAATTATTCATACATTAATTCATGTGATATATTTTAAAACTAAAAAGGCTGTTAGTTTGTTATTTTTTTTATGTTAAATTGTTATTATCACTATAATATGTATATGAAAACAAAAGACTGTTTATACATTTAGAAAGTTTATGAAATAGCAAGTAAGCATTAATCTATACTAAATATTGTTAAAATAATAAAGAATAAATATTTATTTGATTAATTAAACTGTACTTTATGTAATTCAATCAAATTTTCACTTGCCTCAGGCATTGTCAATTATGCTTTTATTTTCATTTAACCCAAGTACACTATAATCTTTGGGGCAAACGGGAATTTGTAGGTATAAATAATAAAATGGTTGCTGTACGATTCCATTTGCCCCATATGTGAGTTCAGTACAACGCTTGCAGTTGGAAATAGTTATTTTAATTTACCGCAAAAGTATGGGGCAAATGTAAATTTTTTATGCCATTTTGAATTATTTTATTCTCTTTAAGTACCTAATCAACTATTTGTACTTTTAATTAATTTAATTTAAATGTTAGATGCATATTGTGTATAGTTAAATAGTTTTTAACTAAACCAAAAATAAAAGAGGTTGGCAAGTGGATGTTGAATGAAAGATTACAAGTGGGTCACTGTAATGGATGGTGTTAAATTTGAATTCCATGATATAACATTGTATAAGAAAAACGATTCTGAGCGAAAACGGTCAGTCAGCCTATGATATTACTAAGTATATTTGATGATATTATTGTGAATAAAGTAATTTATATATAACCTATTTACGTGGAACCTTATTTTAAATTTTCAATCCATTTGAACTTTAAATGCTTATAAAAAAAAATTGTGCCTATGTATTTTTAATATTTTTCAACTGATATTGTAACAATATACTTCATTGCATTAAATTTTCACTCTTTTTCTACCCAACAAATATAATTTTATTGATATTTATAGAAAAAAAAACTGAAAAAACTGAAAACTGACCATGTCCGTACAGCTCAAAAAATAGTAAAATATTTTTATAATTTTATGGTGAATAGAAAATAAAAATATAAACATTCAGTAAAATTTTCATGTAACTAAAAATATTTGTTTTTGAATAACAAAACCACTACATGAGAAATCGAGTCAATATCCAATTTTGTAAAAATATGAACTTAAAACGCTCATAAAAATGTATTTTAATTTGCTTGTAGACATTTGTTTTTTTGATAAAGGTAGACAAACTTATGAATAATCTTGTATTCATATTTTGTTATAAATATAACAGTCTATAATAAATAATGTATTAATTTGTTAATATACATTATTACATAATTATTTAAATATTCAATAAGTAGTAGTAGTCATTAGTGTTTAGGAAAATATTTGTAATGAAATGAATAAAGATCTATATGCTATAATCTATATGCTTCCACATCGATGAGAAATTTGTAATGCCGCCATAATGGGGCCATTTTAAGAATGTGAGCACAGGTTTCTTAATTCTTATCTTTATTATTGAAACTAATAAAGCTAAATAAAACAAACTGCCATAAATTAGTTATGTTAGACACTTTATGACACCAACAGAAACAACACAAATTTTAATGACATAATCTGCAAATAAAGGTCAGTGATGCAGTGGCAATGTGCTGACTACTAATTTAAAAACATTTATTGAACATTTCAATAAACAAAAATAACATTAGTTTTATATATATATTAATTTAAATGCTTCACATAATTAAATTATTATATTTTTATTCAAGAGATTCTAAAAACATTAACAAGACACAAAAAATAACTATTTTATGCATAAAAAAATAAGCTGGAAAATTGACAGTAAAAAAAAAATTATAAATATACTCGAATACACATTTTGTTTTTATATTTATAAATAATATACAATAAGGGGTATCCAATCGTGGATGATGCTTTGATTAAATGTTATTGTTTAAAAGTAAATTTCAATGTATAATGTTATTTAAGTATGATAATAATTTTCGCTCAGTTTGAAATCAAAACAATATGGGACAGCGCAGAAATTATATAATTAAAATTATAAGCTATGATATATAAATATGTTGCAGGTGTTACAAAACATTTAATCAAAACAGATATAAGTACAAATATAAAGTTTTTAATACAAAAAAAAAAATAGTTAATAGCTTGCTCTATGTAAATTTAATAATATATTTTTTTTAGACTAGAAACACACTATACAATTATATATTATTGTTTAAGGATGTAAAAATGTGTAAAATTTCAATATATTTTTTTTATTAATACTATAAGCCTTGGTAAAAAGTTTATCACATACAATAGTGGTGTTAGTATAATATTATAGTATTAAATCATATACTATTATAAGTACATTATTAAAATATTTTTTTTTTTACAAATTTGAAAAACAATATTGCTTACAATTATGAGCCAATGTGAGTTGTAATAAAGTATTGGTTACAAAACAATAATAAAAGGTAAATTCAATGAACACAAATTAATTTTAAACACATAAAAGAAATGACTCTTGTGGGGTTTTATTTTGTTAACTAACACGGACAATGGAAACTAGGTAAGATTCTCATGTAAAGTATATAACAACACATTGATGGTCAATAATAATTTAAAAGCTTTCACAGATATCAGTTTAATTTTACAATTATTAATCAATGTGGTTTGAATAAAATAGTAAACCACACAAAAAAAAATATAATTTTATTGCACATTGTTTATCATTGCTATTTTTCAATTGCCATCATGCCAATTTTAATTGTACATCATTTGTATTTTGTATTGACTAATTAAAAATTTTAATTAACAAACTATCAACCGGTCAAGTATATTTCTATTAGATAATTTAAATTAATACTAATAATAAAGAATATTTATTTTCATTTTAGAATACATTTTAAATTATAGGCTTTAAATTTACTTCTTTCAGAGAAATAAGAAAATATTATCATTATTGTGTTCATGCAAAAAAAACAGAAGACTTTATTATTCTTAAGTGAATTATTTAACATTTAGTAGCAGTACATACTTAAAGTACACTGCATGTAGACTTAATTCTTAAGTTATAATCTTGTGGTGTATTACTACATGAATGAAGTAGTTTATAATGTACTACATCAAATGAAGAGTATGTATGTACTACACATATTTAATTGAAAAAAAATTCTTTCATTCTTAGTTATTTTTATACAAAACACAATGTTGATGAAAAAAGGAAAATATATGTATATTTTATAAATATATAAAGAATAATTATGACTGAAATGGTCTGATCAAGAGTAAAATTATTTCTTTAAATTATAAATTTTAAAAATCTCTTATAAGCATATACAAAAAAATGTTTAACATATTAACTATTGTTTCAGTGATATTATATCAAATATTATTTTTATACAACATCAAAAATTATTATATGTACATAACCTCTTGATAATAAAAATATGTTTATGACTTTATGCATGAAACAATATAGTATTTTTTTATAATTTGCTTAAAATTTAAATTTTTCTGATTTTATATAAATATATTGAAGTTAGAACTGTGTTCACCAATTAATTTCCAATAATAATTGCGTGCAAATATGATAGTCAAGAAGTAATTTATTAGTTTTATGAAAATATGGTAATTTATGTTTTGGAAAATATTTTATAGTAATGTCAGTAATATCTGAATATACAATTTTGAATAACAATATAACTAGTTATCTATAATGTGAAATAAGAAAATCAAAAGTAAAAACGGAATATGTTTCTGCAAAATAAGTACAGATATGTATTAATTTTGTTACTATAAAAATTAGAATCACAGCTTCCTACCTTATTATACAGGAACTGTTTGATTATAATCATAATTCTGGTATAGTTGATCACAGTGATTTTGAGATTCTATAATTACTTTAGTCTGCGGATGATAATCTAATCTATCATCATTATGTCTCATCTCGATTTCCAAATCATCCAATGTTGTACCCGAATCGTTTGGTGTCAACGTAATTAGAGAATTTGCTGCTGTATGTGGCAAAGGTTGACGTAATACTTCAGGGACATAGTCATAACCATGTGAATGATCACGTCTTCTGGCTGGACTTGGTTGAACTGTACGTGGATTTCTAACCTTTAAGGTTAAAACGTAAATATTTATTATATAATTCAATAATGATGACATTATATTCTAGATTCCTGAAATTGACTTACTTGGTAAAGTATAGGACTCCATGCGGTACAATTTCGGAAGAAACATTGAGATAATGTAAATGTTAATGTTATTATAAGTCCAACCAAGGCAAATAAAGTAATATCATGAAGTCCATGACGCAACATTGACAGTGAAGTAAAACTTACTTGTAAAAGTACTATTGAAACCATAACACAATTTATAGCTGTACTATGTATGCGTTTACTAATTTTTGATTTGCCATAAGCAAAATATATGTTATAACGATCAACAAAATGTTTAGTAACCATATACAAAAGACCTAAAAACAATAACAAACAATTTTTAATTATATAACATGTATCATAAACATGATTAAAATAATGCTTACCAAAGGGTGTTATAAGAGGACAGGAAAGACTATAAACTGTCACAATTGAAAATATAATTAGCATCCAAGCATATTGTACACCAAATGGAAATTCCCAAAGAATTAATCTTCTAGCACTAGCAGATTCTGCTTTTGATCTACAAATTATTTTATTAAGTTATAAGAAAATTATTATAAAGTAACAAAAATCAAATATTGGAACCATTAATTAATGAAATTCATTGAAGTTGTCAAGAAAATGAAGATTATTCATTTAATATCAGTATTAACCATTTATAATAATACTGGTTGCAATGACATTTCGAGTTTAATTACCTATTTTTAAGATAATATAAAATAATAAGATTATATTCTTTAAAATTAATAATTAATAAAAGTATAGGAAAATTATAAAATAAATTCAAGATTAATACCAAATACATTTACACAACAATATTTAGGTACACGATTAGGTGCTAAGTCCAGTTTTAGATTGTAATATTAAGGGCCGTTCTTACAATGTCCGGTTAAGTGTCGGTTAACTTTAACCGGACATCTTAAGAATGGCCCTAAGTGACAAATGTATTTATTAATTATTTAATTCATTATTTATGAAATCAAGCCTCATTTCATTCCGTGATCATTGTATAACGAGTCTGGTCACAGGCCAATCTTGTCCTTACATACAAAGCTAGTATCTTAGAAAATAAATACTCAATTTAAAAAAATTCTAGCAAGCAAGTTTTTTTTTTTTTTTAAATTATCATCTATAAACTAATACTAAAACGTTCTATAGAATTAAATTAATTATCAAAATAGTTTATTTAAGATACAGCCTTAGACCATTATTGTCAACTCAGACCTTTTACTTAGTAATCACTGGCTAATTAATTCACTATAACATTGGAAAACAGTTAAATAGAGGTAGTTTGTATTATTTAAATTATACTTAAACTTTCACTAAATATTTCACATACCTTGATAATGATAATCGAAGAGCATACATAAAAAGTTCTGGAAATCGTATTAGTTCTAAGCTTGTTCCAATAAGAGCAGACGTAACGACATAGTTCACAAAAAATGCTCCTTTGTCAGGCAAAAACACACATTGCCAACGATAAGTCTCAATACCAGCTTGAAATGCGAACATTAGGAATGCTTGGGCACTAAAAATACATAAACATTTAAATTGGATAATAACAATACTGGGATTTCGATGCACTTTGAATTGTTTTCCAAAGCTGGCTATGAAATGCTTGTCTTATAACAAACATATTTAATGTATTTTTGAATAGGAATAAGATATTTTTATTTTGTAATTTTTTAGAGCAATTTAAGATTTTTGGGTTATTGAATTCCAAATTTCAATTTGAAATTTTTTAAGATTTTTACATGCTTTTTAAAGTTTTTTTTATATACATTTGACAAACCATAACTGTATACAGATAAATAAATATAATATGATCTAAACATTTAAAGAATCAAAATGTACGGAAATAATTGTTTTTTTCAGATTAAAGAAATCGAAAACGATCAATTATGGCTGTTAAAACTTTTTTACAGTCCTTTAATGTATACCAAATAATATCAAATATATCGTTTTTATTAAAAATAAATCTATAAAAATAAATTTATTAAATCATCACTGGCAGTCACACTCTTTCTCTTGGCCATTAATGATATTGTCGAAACCATTCAAGTTCCTGTAAAAGCTAATTTATTCGCCGATGACTTTAACATTTTTTGCAGAAGTAATAACCTAAAAACCGTCCAAGAATTACTCCAAATAAGTGTTAACAGCTTATCAGATTGGTCAAAAAAAACTGGCTTCTCATTCTCTAACCTCAAATCCAAAAGTATTATCTTTACAAAACAAAAAAAAATAAAAGATCTCAATATAATACTAGACAACTTAATTATACCTCACCATAATAAAATTAAAATCCTAGGAATAACATTCGATTCCAAACTTAATTGGATACCCCATCTAAAAAATATTCGTGACTCGTTATCTCAAAAACTCAACATAATCAAAATAATTGCCCACACATCATGGGGTGGTGACAGCGCATCTCTTTTAATGATTTATAAAGCGTTAATTCGATCTAAAACAGATTATGGATCAATACTGTTAAAAAATGCCAAAACCAACCACTTAAACATGGTTCAAACTAAACTAAATACTGCTATAAGACTTTCAATAGGGGGATTCAAATCCAGCCCAATTGAGAGTATTAGAAACATTGCTAATGAAATCCCACCTAACCTTAGAAGAGAAAAACTACTGCTATTATATTGTGCCAGAACCAAAAGAAATATCAACAATCCAGCCATCAAAGTAATAAATTAACACATACAGCAAGCCGAAAAAGAAAATATAAAAATAAACAATATTTTAGAAAGAAAACCGTACAATTTTCCCCCTTGGAACACAACATTCAATGTTAACCTTACTTTAACTCAATTCAAAAAAGAAAACACAATGCCCTCCATATATAAAAACATGCTCAACAACATATTGCAAGAACACCCAAACAGCATACACATATACACTGATGCATCCAAAACAAATGACGGTGTCGGTCTCGCTATGATAATAAACAATCAAACAATAGCATACAAACTTCCACCTCAAGCATCAATATTCACAGCAGAAGCGATGGCAATATACAAAGCTGTAAAATATTTCCACACTGAATATTCAAACAACCAAACAAAATGTATAATACTTAGCGACTCACTCAGCAATTTAATTGCCATCACAAATACTCGAAACCAAACAGATATCACTAAGCAAATACAAGAAGAAACTTTTCTTGCAGAAAATAAAAATATATACATCCAGTTTGTATGGATTCCGGGCCACATAGGCATTCCAGGAAATGAAATGGCTGACCTAGAAGCCCATAATGCAATCACCTCCACATTAACTGCAACCATAAAGTCCATCACATTCGCAGATGCAAAAAACGAAATTAAACTTCACACAAACAACAAATGGCATTCCCACTGGCGAAAACTCAACACCAAACTCAATAAAATAAAAAACAATATAAACCCATGGATAAATCCTGAACTCAGTAGAAAAGAAGAAACCATAATAAACCGTCTACGAATTGGACACACACACCTAACACACAGCTATTTGATGACCAAAGACGATCCTCCACTATGCGACGCGTGCAATGTACTTTTAACGGTCAACCACATCATCACAGAATGTCAAAAATACAACAAGTATCGAAATCAATACCACATCTCAGAACAAATTTGTCAAGCACTAGGACCAAACTCTCAAGACGTTAAAAACTTAATTTTATTCTTAAAAAAAACAGAATTGTACAATTTAATTTAATGTAACCATGTAAATGCTAAAATACTAACAATGTAATCTAAAATTCGTGTACTAATGGCCTAGTTGTCGATGTATAGTTCAGATCAATAAAAAAAAAAATAAAAAAAAAAAATAATTTTAGTGCATTATTTAGAATCTGTGGGGCATATAAGCATTTTTGGGTATTTTCAGGGCTTTACAACCCCAGCAATAATTATAATTATTATTAATAATGTACTTTACATTTACTTTTAATAACTAACCTTGTTAATCCCAAAGATGGGAGTATCAAACACATAAAAAGAAGAAAAACAAATGTTTTTCGCATAATGGAATGGTTTCTTTTAGATCTTGTCCAATGACTAAGCCATTGATCAGACCTTATAACTAGTACCGGTAATAACGCAGCTGCTGTCCACAACAATAATGTAGGCATAAATTCTGATAATATAGGACTCTATTAAAAATTAAAAATAATTAATTTTTTAAAATCACACTATAAATTATTGTTTTATACAATGAGTAAAATTGAATATCAACTTACAGCTTTTTCGATTTCTCTTAGTTTAAGAGTGTCCATAACGTTCAAAACAATCACAGGAGTAGTCAAAAAAAATAAAATTATCACTAAAAATGAATTTGTTAATACAATTTTACAGTATCGATTGTGAGATGGTTCAGTCAAATTTTCCCTAGAACAAACAACAACAACTAATTATTTTAAAACATAAATTGATTGTCTATAGAAATTATATATTTATAGATACAGATTAGTAATAAACTTAAAATATTTTTTCAAATGATAAACTATTTAATAATTATATTAATAAATTATTTTCTGAAATAACACAAAAAAATAAAATTCTGTTTTGACATATCAAAATTTTTAGTATAATTATAGTATTATATCATATGCTATTATAAGTACATTATTATTTTTTTTTTTTTTTTACAAATTTGAAAAACAATATTGCTTACAGTTATGAGCCAATGTGAGTTGTAATAAAGTATTGGTTACAAAACAATAATAAAAGTGTAAACTCTCACTAGGAGCAGTGCTGTTGTTATCTCATATGCTTCAGATATTGTTACCTAGTGAGGGTAAACCAATTGGTGTAGAGCGGCTCAGGCGCCTTGTCACCTGTGCAGGTCTGAGTGCACCGTTGTGATACATTATAAATTGAAGTTAAAGAGTCGATTAAAAGTTAATTTCCCAACTAAAAGTTGTTATTATTGTGGTCCTGTGTTATGTTAGATCATGACAGTTAACAAAAGGTAAGTTCAATGAACACAAATTAATTTTAAACACATAAAAGAAATTACTGCAATTAATTATTAAGCTCTAGTGGGGTTTTATTTTGTTAAAATATTTAAAACTAACACGGACAATGGAAACTAGGTAAAATTCTCATGTAAAGTACATAACAACACATTGATGGTCAATAATAATTTAAAAGCTTTTACAGAGATCAGTTTAATTTTACAATTATTAATCAATGTGGTTTGAATAAAATAGTAAACTACATAAAATAAATATCATTATATTACACATTGTTTATCATTGCTATTTATTTTCATTTAAGAATTCATTTTAAATTATAGGTTTTAAATTTACTTCCTTCATAGAAATAAGAAAATATTATAATTATTGTGTTCATGCAAAAAATAGAAGGCTATTATATTTAAGTGAATTATTTAACATTTAGTAGCAGTGCACACTAGTACACTGCATGCAGTGTATACATAGACATAATTTTTAAATTATTATCTTGTGGTGTATTACTACATGAGTGAAGTAGTTTATGATCTACTATAAAAATTACTATAATTGAAAAAATATTCTTTTCTTCTAGGCTATTTTTATACTAAACACAATTTTGATGAAAAAAAAGGAAAATATTAATATACATTTCAACACTTATTTTTAGATTCTCAGCAGAACAATGAATGTATTGATTTTACAACGGTGTTTTTTTTTTTTATTTAATTTTTAAATATTTGTGTCTGTCAGCACAGTTTGGGGCATCTCTAACAGTATCTTGTTCGATGGGCAAGTGAATCTAGTAGGTGTATTCAGTAGGTCAAAATTTTAAATTTCTAACAGTTTTGAAAAGCGGAAGGAAAAACAACACAAATATTAAAGTAAAACGGAAATTTTAAAACTAAAAAAAAAATGAATTTTTCCCTGGTTGTTTATTATATATTGTAAATTCACGATATAATTTTCAACATATTTTGATTTGTTTTAAACCGTTTAAGGAAATTTTATAATAAAATACAATAAAATAAAATTGTATTTGTAGGGTAAATAAGTTAGACAATTTCATAGAAGGTTCCTAATATAATGTTTCAAAGACAGATGAAAAATATTAAAAATGCAGTCACAATTTTTTTTATAAGAATTTAAGGTTCAAATATTGACAAAATACGTAAGACTCACAAAAATGTGCAAATTATTTTGAGTTAGAAATTCATAAAATTTTTCTTTTTTAAATGTAAAATTTGAAAATGTAATTTAAGTTTTGTCATAAGTTTATGTTTATAGTCTACCTTTATCAAAAAAAAAAAAAATGTCTACAAGAAAGTCAAATTAAATTTTTATGAGCGTTTGAAGTTCATATTTTTATAATATTGGATAATTTCCTGATTTCTCATGTAGCAATTTACTTATTTTGTTGTAATTCAAAAACGAAAAAGGTGGGCAAGTGGATGTCGCTCTGCTGTACAGTAGGTTACAAGTGGGGCACTGTATAATGGATGGTATTAAATTTGAATTCAATGATATAATATCATTGTATAAGAAAAACGATTCTGAGCGGTGACGGTATGTCAGTCTATGTATAAGACATATTATATACATATCTATGGTATTAAACAAAAAATTGACCTATAATAGGTACCTATAATAAATTACAAACTAATCATATCACAATATCCATTAGATACTTATAACGCGTTATACATCAACAAAAACCGTGATACTATCATAGATATATAATAGTACACTTTAGAAGTTTCAAGTACCCACGAATAATATTATTCAATCAAAACAAAATAACTAAAATCGTAATTCTTGGTTTAAATATGAAATTTTGTCTAAATTTGAAATTAAAATGTCTGTAAAAAATAAGTGTGTTTATATATTTATTAGATTTTTTGGTTACAGTATGAATTATTTAAGAGAATCTTTGTTTTAAATTTTCAACTCTTAGTTATAAAAACTGAACATTTTATAATTTTTTAATTCCAACGATTGATAATTTTCGAGATTTTGATAAATTTTGTCAAAATTCCAACTTTAAATGCTTATAAAAAAAAATCGTGCCTATGTATTTTTAATATTTTTCAACTGCTATTGTAACAATATATCAGGAGCCTTGTATTACATTTTTACACTTTTTGACCCAACAGATAAAACTTTATTGATATTTATAGAAAAAAAAACTAAAAAAAATTGAAAGCTGTAAATGTCCATAAACAGCTCAAAAAGAGTCAAAATATTTTCAAAATTGTATGGTGTATAGAAAATGATAATTTAAACATTCAGTGAAATTTTCATGTATCTACAGTTGTTCGTTTTTGAATTGCAACAAAATAAGGAAATCGCTACATGAGAAATCGAGTGAAAATCCAATGTTGTAAAAATTTGAATTTCAAACGCTCATAAAAATTTAATTTGACTGTCCGGTAGAGATTTTTTTATTGATAAAGGTAGATAATCTTATAAGGAATCTTGTATTTCATTTTCAAATCTTAGATTTAAAAAGAAAAATTTTTACGAATTCTTAACTCAAAATAATTTGCTAATTTTGGTGATTTTTCCATATTTTGTCAATTTTTGAACTTTAAATGCTTATAAAAAAAATTGTGACTAAGGATTTTTAATATTTTTCATCTGCCTTTGAAACAATATATTAGGAGCCTTCTATTAAATTTTCAAGCTTTCACAACCAACAAATAAAATTTTATTGATATTTCTAGAAAAAAAACGAAAAATGAAAATGTCCCTAAACTGTTCAAAATAAATCAAAATATTTTGAAAATGTTATCGTGTATAGAAAATGCAAATATAAACAACCAGTGAAAATTGCATGTATATACGTTCATTTGTTTTAGAGTTACACCAATAACCAAAATCGATTTTTTGGAAAACCAATTTTGCGTAAAATTTCCCGTTTTTCCTTAATTTTTATGTTGTTTTTCCCGGCGCTTGTGAAAACTACTGTGAAATTTATACTTTTGACCCCCCAAAGTACCAACTAGATTCACTTTCCTACCAGAAAAGCTACTGATGAAGAAAATCCAAGCATTTTTACTGTCCTAAAACGTGATGACAGACACAAAAATATAAATAAAAATATAAATAAAAATATAAAAAAAAACATACATCATTGTAAAACCAATACATTCATCGCTCCGCTCAGAATCTAAAACTGTAGACACTTGAAGTTTATATCATGTTTATTTTATCGATCCCTATACTTTATATTTTGAAAAAATTTTCCCAATATTTAGTTTTTTTTTTCTATAAATGTAAATTCAATTTGATTCGTTAGGTCAAGAAGCTTGAACATTTAATACAAAGTCCTGATATATTGTTACTTTAGCAGTCGATAGATATTAAAAATACATATTATGCACAATTTGTTTTTATAAGCATTTTAAATGTAATAATCATTTTGTAGTTAAACATTTATAAATAGGGTATGATATATAAATTACTTCATTCACAATAATATCATTAAATATAATTAGTAATATCATAGGCTGATTGACCGTTTTCGCTCAGAATCGTTTTTCTTATACAATGATGTTATATCATTGAACTCAAATTTAACACCATCCATTACAGTGACCCACTTGTAACCTACTGCACAGCAGAGCGACGCCCACTTACCCACCTTTCTTTTAATTCAAATTGATAAATCCTCATTAATTTTGTTTAAAACTTTATGTTTTATGGATATTCTATTTAATATCTTAACTATTAAATGTACATATTAATAATATCAATTACCAAAATATATCATCAGGTGGAGGAGCAAAAGTGACTCTCCAACGATAAGGCTGAAGTAGACCAGCCACAGAACTGGTAGGTGGATTATGACGACCACATTTGGATAATTTGTAAACGTGGTCTTGATGAATGAGTCTAGCTGTATGAATTGTTGTCATAGTTACAAAAGCTATACCTAGAGGTCTCTTTAGAGCGGATTCTTTTTCTGCTTCTAACTAAAAACAATAATAATAAAAAAAAAAGTAAATTTATTAAATAAGATTATTTTCTATGTTAAGAATATTGTTACTTATTAGTTATTAATATCCAATATTGTTAAATACCTGTCTGCACACAGATACCATAGTAAAAATAACTTTGACAAAATTTTCCTGTGTTTAAGATAGTATAATTCCTGTTTGTTATACATTTATTACTCGTAAATATTAAATTTTATATGCCAATTTTGTAATTAGAAAAAAACTTTTTATACATAAATTGTTTAGAAAGAAATACTGAATCCAAATTTGTAAAAAAAAAATTGATTTTACTATTTAAAATAAAGTAAGTTTTATCAAGCATGAGAGTATTGAGTGTTAAAAATTTGAAATTCATCTGAAAATGTGTATTTAAATTCTATCTGTCATTCAGCAAAAACTCTATTTCAATACAAAGTCATCGAACTGAAATATTTAGTGTTACCTCTTAGCGTGAACATACTGTATAGTTCTTTAAATGTACAGTTGATTACAAGTATTAAAATATGAGCAAAATTAATAAAGCAGTGATAATCAACAATTGTCTTAAAATATAGATGATTAACAATGTCATTATTTCAAGGGTGCATCTGATTATCTCTAGAAACTGAGTTTTGTATAAGATAAAAATTTTAAATAATCATATTCAATATCCATTCAATATCCTCATCTTATTCCGTGATCATTGTAAAATGATTCTGGTCACAGGCTGGCCAATCTTGTCCTTGCGCACAATGCCAGTATCTTATACAAAAAACACTTAATTGCATAAAAGTATGGCAGGCAAGTTTTTTTTTTTTTTTTAGCATCATCTATAGATTCACACTAAAATATTCTATAGAACTAAATGAATCATCTAAATAAACTAGTTTATATACAGCCTTAGACCATTATCAACAACTCAGACCTTTTACTTAGTAATCACTGGATAGTTTACATCATGACGAATTAGATAGATATCATCACAGTATTTTTACAGCATCCTCATCTCTTTACTTCGCCTTTATTTTAGTTCTTAACTTCTTATTGGCTGTCAAACTTAAACATACATATATATCGTAGAACAAAATCAACCAATGAGAAGTGGCGAACTAGGATATAGACTGGAGGTGAAGAAGATGCGTATCTACTGCTCAAAACTATACTCTGTCCAGGCTAAGAGCGCACCAGATTTACGTAACAAAACTGGTTTTGCCCGTGGCCGCCCGGTGCGCTCTTAGCCTGGATAGAGTATAGTACAACTGTGATGATACCTATCTAATTTGTCATGGCTTACATGATATCAAATATACATTATATTCACCATTAAATTGGGTAATGCTAAGAAGTGATATTTTGTATTATATCAACTAAAATTTAGGTATCACCAATTTATAGACCAATGATGAAACCATATTTCCTAAATAAATTCAAACTAGAATTATGTGATCAATCAAAAAAATTAGAATGAACAATGTACGTTATTTTAATCACTGGATTGGACTTATACAATTTATAATTTGACTAAACCATAATTCCATAACTGTTGAATGTTGAAATTATCTTAAGGCTGTTGAAATTGCCCATGTTGAATTTAGACAATATTAAATATCCATCAGGAGTGTGAGTGTGTCATCTCCTGAACACTTTATATTATTAAAGTAAACTACATCTAAGATCCTTAAAAATCTATAGTGTACATACACACAATCACACAACACTATATTTTGCGATTAAATTGTTTAAACTCCTGTGGCTGTGACGCCCCGAAAATTAAAAGATAAATTCACCCCATGCCGAAAGCCTGATTTTAATTTTAATAACATAATTCCTTAATCTCATTTTTTGGTTTTGTAGGAATTTTTTTTTTTTTAAATGCACTTCAACTGCAATGTTACTAAAAAATATCATTTTTTAAAAACAGACGAATAATTAAATAATTTATTTTAGTGTCATATCCATTAATAAATATTCATTATGTTCATATTTTCAGTAAGAATACTTGTTGTGTGTATATAGTACCTTGGGAATCAAAAAAGAATTGTTCAAACCATATTATGTAAAAATAAATTAAAACAGTCGTTATTAATATGCCATGATTCTCATAGCTGTTAATCAATTATATAGATATTTTCATTAACTGTTTTTTTAAATACGGTTACTCTATTAATATCTAATAGTTTACTAAATATAAACAATTATAAATTTCTCAATACTTACTTCTGCTTTTAGCCGAGCTTCTTCTTGAGAATAATAATCAATAGCATCTAAATTATTGGAACTACAGAAACCACAACAAATACAAATATAACCACAAACATGGGGTTGTACTGTAAGACGTTCGCCTACAGTTTTTAAATGATTTTCACAATATTGTTTTGCTTGAACTGCAGCATTTCTGTTCATATAAAAAAAAATGATTATTAATTAAATAATAAATTAAACTTTATAAAATATTAACTATTCATATGTAATGTGAAAAGTTATATTTTAGCAAACTAGTAAGTTCAATATAATTAGACTCATAAATACTAATTACTCAACTATTTATATAATAATGTACCTGTCTCTATCTAATTCATTAGCTTTGTTGACATCATAAGCAAGCTGAATATTTTCTACTTCACATTCAGGATAAGCCTCTCTAAAAATGAATTGTACATAAATGGATACTTAATATTTAACAATTTGCATTAATATTGGAAAAACTAATAATAATAAAAATACTGACTTAAAATGTCGATCCATATCATTTATGTCAGAATTTCGTCTGGGAATATTTGTTATCATCAACGTCCGCGACCAACAATCACCATTTTCTTCTAATTTAAGATTTACAGAAAACCTTCTCATTATGCAAATAGTTAATGGAAAGTATAACATGGCTATAGTCACATGTACCCACAGCCAAGGTGAACTAGAAATTAAAAGTTTGTAAATTACGTACATATACTAAAAAAACATATTAAACTTAACACTAATCTAGATAAAGGCACCAAAAATGTAAGCATAGATTTAAAAACAGATGTTGACTATACATAAAAAATGTATATTGTAAATTTCTAATTTAGAATAAGAATGCCCACTTTCACCCATGCATAGTTGGACCCCCTCGAACGGTGCCAGGTACTCTGTGATTGGTCAACAATGGTCGGCAACCAATGTTCCTCCTCGTGTTCAATGGCCTTTAGTTTAACCTAAATGAGTGTACACGTCATATACGCACGTGCGTATGAGTGTTCGTTGTTCAAAATGACCATTTGTGAGCATGCATTTGTGTTTTATCCCACCGTGGGCGTGTCTACATTGCATACGTTGCAATGTAGACTAATATGCTCAAATCAATCATGAAGACAAAACCCATATTTTTAGGCTCGTTGTTCAAGTTATTCACGATTTAAAATAAACACGTATAAATGCTCATGAACAACATGCAAACGGCAAACACAAATACTCACATCTGTACATACCTCAAGTAATCCAACCAGACATTGTAAGTACAAAGTACTAATAGTATAACTTACTCAGGGTGTAGATTGCTAACAGTAGTATGTCCAAATGATCTTTCATCACCTTCTAAATCACCAGCAAAATTGATTGGTAGTACTATGCCTAATGAAACTGCAGTGATTATAGCCATTAAAACCATTATGTGCCTTTGGAATGATAAATATTGAACAGCATCATAACCACATTTCCGTAAAATTTTTTCATCTCTGAAAATTATAAAATATAAATAGGTATAGCAAGTATTCAGATCATAAAAAATATCTAGAAACTATTTTTAAAATGTTGTATTACCTTAGCTGTATAATTGTTAAGAACCAGGAAAATAAGCCCCTATCAACAGGCATTGAGTTATCTAATGTAGTTGTAGAATTACCATCTTCAATGTTATTCTCTGAATTTTCATCAGTTGTACCATAAAATATACGAGACCACCTAAACAAATTATTATTGAAAATAGTATGAAATATGAATATATAAAATTTTTTTTTTTTAATTAAACCTTACTTTTCATAATCTTTATTGACTAATGCTAAACGTCCATAATCCCATGCCCTTTTCCTCATGAATGCAAAAAATAAAACTAAGAGCTAAAACATTTTAACTTGTAATTCATATTATAGGTAGTATTTTTATAAATATCCATACTTACAACACACCCTAATGCATTGAGTAAAAGAGTTTCAGGTATTCCTTCATAAGCTGTAATAAGAAGTCTATTTCTTGTTCGATTATAATAATTACATTTATCTTTAGCTGGACCATTAAATTCATGAAATATATTATTATCCATCTTCAGTTAGTATTCCTATTGCAATACATCAAAAACAGTTAAAAATTATATAAACCAAATAAGGTAGGTATATAAGCAATTCAATTTTCATCAGAACTATACTAACAATATAAATTCAAGTGACAAAATAAGATATGTACTTATATAAAAAAAACAAAATAACTGTTTGTCAAGAAAGAATTGAGCAATGAACTGGTAATATTAATGAGTATAAATTACAGATTAGATCAGCAATTAGATATAATTCATATAATTCATATTATAATTATGTAAATACAGTTTAAGATAAGAATAAGCATTGTACATTTTTTAACAAATTAAGCAACTAAAAATTATAGCTATTAAGGAACTAATGAACTTAGATTCAACTACCTATTTAATAAACTATCTAATTAGGAATTGGACATTTAAACACTGATGTAGTGATGTACAATAATTATTATTCTAATTTAGTTAGAACAACATTTACATTAACATTAAGTTAATTTATAAGTTAATTTATCTATCACAAAATAGTTGTTAATAATTTTAAATTAACAGTATGATAAATTAATATATATTTTCATGATCATAATAAGAGCAACAATAAAAGTTACACCAATTATGAGCTATAATTTATGATAATAAATAACTATTCTTAAGATGAATCATGAAATGTAATCTATAGATTAATATTAATATTTGCTTTAATTTATATGAACAGTTGCAAAATTGACATTTTATAAGAAGTATTGTAAAACATTAAAAATGAGTTGGCAACCTATTAATTTGTTTTTTTTATATGGATTATATAATCCCAAATAAAACACACATAATAAAGACTCTATTTTTTAACAAAATATTATTCAAAATGTAAAAATCAATTTTTTTAAAATCTATACTATTTAATAGCATATTGCAACCGTTTACTTATTATAGCACATACTACAATAATATAATATATATTATGATACCTAACTAGTATATGGTTCCAAGATTAAACTTTAAGTTTTCTAATAGGTAGTTAGAAGCATTAATTTTCTTTATCAAGTTGTTTTGACATTTTAAATAAATGACTTTAAATCCTATTTTTAAATTGTTTTTCATAACCATATTCCTTTTAAATAAATATACATATATTACATATTCTACATTTATTTGTTAAGACTAATGTCTGTAGAATTACCTAATTATCTTCATTATCTTATACGATTGACATATACCTACATACCTACGACACAAAAAATACTAGAATTACATAATACCTATAATTTACATTTTAAAATACTGTATAGTATATAGGTACAAACTAAAATAATATTGTAGGGACTATATTAAAAACTTAAATATTTAGGCAATATTTTAGATAAGAAGGTGTCAACTTTTAAAAGGAAAAATATAATAAATATATATTTTAATTTAATCTTTCTGTCTGTATTGATGTCCCATAAGTTGTAAAAATAATAAATCCATAGGTAAAGGTTGCTTGATATCAAGATTGACTATTAGAAGATGTAACTTTTACACCAAACTAGTAAAAATATTAAGTATATTATACCTATTACCTACATTATATACATAGGTAATGCTATAAATGTTGTTGAAAAAGTAATTTTCAATAAAAGTAATTATTTTCAAAAATTATTTACAAAACTATGTAAATTTATAGGTACTTAATGGTACCTAATTCGGTTAAAAATGTAATTAAAAAATAGGTATTGACAATTATTTTAAATAGTTCAAAATCATATACCTGACTATAGGGGTAATATTACCTACAATAAAATCCATATTTAGAAAAATAAATAATTTAAATAATTTATAACTTATTAGATGTTAATAGAAAGTACCAACCATATGACATAGGGATTTTCAAAATCAAATTAGTTAATAGAGGTATTAACGGGTATTAAGGAAACTTAAAAATAAGTAGGTACCTACTAAAAATAATATTAGTTATATTCTTCATTTGATGTCCTTACCAACAAAACATGGGTATATTTACCAGAAACTCAATCCACTAAATAAAAACCACCTTGCCACTGTCTAATCACTTATCAAATTGTTAAATATTTACTAGAGATAGCCATTTTACTTCCAGCCTTTGTCTTCTTCACATTCCATACTCATAGAAACATTCTATAATGTTAATTTTAAACCTAAGAATCATACCCGAATCTATTCTCATCGTCTCACTAGTTCTTTACCTTCACCCTCAAGTCTTAACCATCATAGACAAAATAATAATAAAAAGAATCAATTCAGTTTATAAATTAAAAAAAATTCCAGACAACCAATTTGGATTCAAGATTAAAGATTCTTCCCTACATAAAGTAAACAGGATAGTTAAGTCATATGCCAATCCCTTGAAAATAAAATGTAATGTACAAGAGGTAATATTTGCATCGCTCAGGCATTTGATCAAGAGAGATTTTTCCACAAAATTAATTTCCTTCAGGACCCCTTATTTTTATAATCCAATCGAATTCAAACAAACAGTATTTTTCAGTACGCTGTAAAGATGAAATGTCCCATATATACTAGATACTTAAAATCAGGTGTTCCGCAGGATATCAGTTAAGCTCCAGCTTTATTCAACACAGATATTATATGTCCGTTATTCCCCACTCAGATAATACCATTTTGGAAACCTTAGCCGATGATCGCTGGCATTATCTCAATGATAAATTTATTCCAACTCCTCATACCCAGGTGACCTGGACAGGTCCTATTACTATTTAATGAGTTCTATTGTAAACTGTCAATAAATCAATCCGAAGATGCTTACAACGAGAACCACCTTGCTAGGCCTGGTAGGTATTACAACTAGGCACTAGCTAGGTACCTAACTAGCCCGCTCACTGGGTACTTACTTCGTCGAACAGATGTGTGGCGCCAGTGGGTCGGCTTCAGTTCAGTCCATCGTACTTGAAAACGTATTGTATTTTATCGGCGGTGGAACAGCAGTCATAGCGTGAAAGAAAATATTGATAAGATAGATGAAAAAAGTATCTTCCTGTACCTATACACGGCGGTCGTATCTCCGACGAATTGATTAATTTACGATATTAATTACTGTGGATGCTCGTTTGACGATATTCTGGCGGCGGCGGAAAACGAAATAAAAAAATGAACGACGGAGGACGGAACAATGATTGATGATGTTATCTTTTTTTTATCTACGCATAATAATTACCAACAATTATCATAATTCCATCTCGATACGATAAAAACAATAACAACACGCTCGGCCGGTAAGAGCGGTAGGTGTCGAGTCCGGACCCCGGGCGGCAAACATCCTAGTCGTCCAACAAATTTCGATTTATCTCGAAACCATCGGAAAAATGAAAAAATGCGTTTTATCGATTTACGACCTACCAGCTTGCTACCTACTAACTACGCACGGTTATACACCTACACTGCTTACCTAACACACCTACAACAGTAAAGTTATACTGCCGTAGTGCCGTAACCGTAAGCGGTAACTGGTAAGCCCTTATCGATTTCGAGCTCAGAAGCGATTAAAGCGGACACTATGACTGGCGGGTAGTGGGTACGGCGTTTTTGCGTCACTCAGTCACTTCCCACTGTCCGCCCACCGCTGCGTCGGTGTCGGTGTGACGGTGTGTCGCTCGGTTGGAGGCGCTCGCATTGTGTACAACGATAACCATAGATCTTGTACACGGACTAAGATGTCTTGTAGTTTGTACCTATGAACCACAGATTTCTATATTGTAGACTGTAGTACAGTGTTTTTGTAGGTATACTCTATACTGTATTGTAGTATAGAAGTCTGTGCTATGATCCTGGCATGACAAATAATTTAATTTGTCATGGAAGTAATTGGTGGTAAGAGATTTTCTAAAATAAAGAACTACTTTTATAGTAGTAACTAGTAACTACGAATTACGATTACCACGTATTTACTACGGTATTATTGTTATTGCTTATTTGCTTACACATGGGCCATTCAATATTATATTTTACGATAAGGCACAAAACAATGTAATAAGGCTGGTAGGACGGTAAAACTATATTGTAGTAATGTTGTGAGGCGTGAGCCCTAGCTGCAAACTGTTGTACAGAACATGGTTGCTTAATGGTTCAAAAAATATCACAAGGAGCGCTCAGCAGTTCTTCATTCACAGAGATGTGCAACCAGTATATCTACAACTGTGGTTGGTACGATTAGTACGATTTCTATATATTACCTACTAGATATCGAACTCCGGTCATGAATTGAAGCTTCGAGGTCGGTTGGCAATTGTATGGTATTTCATATAAAAAATAAAATGATATTATGATTTATTTTGTATCGTATTTTATTATTTCTAAGCATGTAGTTTAAATAAAATAATATTTTATTAAAGTCATTTTACATTCACTATTTTATTTAACCATTAAAAAAAATATTATTCCTAGTACATTTTGTCATTTTGTATAATAAATGAAATGTTTTGCCAACCGACAAAATGGCGGCCGTTCACAGCTCAGCTTCACTTGTACAATGTAAATTGTATAGGAGTTCCTTATCTAGTGACTAGTGTAGTATTATCAGTATTATAGAAGTCTGTGGTTCCGAACATGGAACAATCGATAACCGGGCACCGTCCTGGACGGACCGTCGTCGCGCACGCGCCGCCGGGTCTTTCTAGCAGTCAGTAATGACCGTGGTAATATCCAAAATTTTTCCAGTTTCCTGCTCGGTACCGACGGTCATTCCAAAAATCCCTCAAGTGCACACGCACAGGCTCGTCCTCTAAACTGCACACACGTGAATACGTAATGGTGATACTGTAAACTTAGCGGTCACGATGCGCATGTCAGTTTGTCCCCGTGTGCGTGTTACTATGTTTATTGCCTTGTTAAGAGGACGTCGCACCCGCATCTGTTGTCTCCGTCTTACACACGTACGACATGACGAATTTTCGTTCTCCAGTTCCAATTATAGGCTGCTGACAGCTTTTGATATTGAAGTGAATTGACCTATTATCAACATTTTAAGTACCTACCTAACAACA